ACAAATGAGCAAAATCTATCTTGTATTGCATATCTGATCATTGCCTAGAATGTTGAAAAACTAGACAAGGAAATATTTTGAAGCCATTTTCAGCTACACAATTATAAAACCATACACAATTCTGGAGGAGATTATTCTTCATAGATCTGGGTGACAGCATAGGAGTCAATGGGCAAAAATTATAAGTAGATTCATCATTGCCAGGCATAAAGAACAATCTTTCTAATAACTAAAACCCTTCCTTTGGTATTTGTCAGTTGGTTTACACTATGATATTCCGGTGAAGTGGGTGACCATTTGAGGTGTTACAAAAGTATTTGTTATACCAGAGATGACACCAGATTTCATGACCTCTAAGACCCTTTCCTATTCCATGTGTCTATGACTTTATCATATTGAGATGAAAGAAACTAAAAGAAAAAAAAATCCCAAGAACAACCAAAGTCCTTCCCAAAAGTTTAATACAGAGTTACAACTGTCACTGAGAACCAATGTTTTTCCTTTTCCCTTTTAATTTTAATCCAAATGCATGAGATGCTGGCATGCTAGACCCTTGGAATTTTTTCAGAGCACCATGTGCACTTTCCCTTCTCAGAGTCATGCACTGGTTGGAACTACTGTTTTCATGGGAATGTTTTCCTGAACAAAACAAAATGCAAGTGCCCACAACCATTTATAGATGAACAAAGGAACACAAAAGGCCAGGTGGTATTTTCCTCTCTGTTTCCAAGAATATCCCATTGAAAGGAAATAGGGACAGCATGTCAGGAATATGTACACAGTCACACCCCAGTCTACCTGCTGATTAGGCACCCTGAATACTGTGAGTTTCCATGAGAACGCTGTATCTGGTGGAACTCTGTTCATTTCCCTCTCATGCTTCTATGGTACAAAGGTAATACTGAACAGAGGGTTTACCTTCAATAGCACTTAGTTCTCATCTCTAAGCATCCAAATGTACATGGTCACAAATAGATGGGTTTATTTGTATGCTGTTTTGTCTTCATGCCTATCTAGCTACCTACCATTTCAATTTGTAGGAAACAGCATGCTTTTTAGCCTAGCTAAAGTTTCCCCAGCTACTCAGTTATGACTCCTATTTTCTCTGAAAAGCAATGTAGCTATTACTTAAGTTTGAGAGTCACTATACCCTTGTGTGAGACTAGGTAAACTAGTGTCTTTTTCCTGTGTGCGGCGTATGTGTGTGTAAACAAAATTATGTCAATCTGAAATCTACAACACAAAACAACAATGAACTGATTACTTAACCTTTCTTCCTCTTAAGATGAGCTATTTATCTTGACGTTTGTAACTTAATTAGAAGCTTCTAGTGAGGAATACACTGTGTTTGAGTTTTAGAAGCTTGCATCTCATAAGCAGGAGAAAAAATCAGTCAACCATTTCATAAGAAAACATTGATGATAATGACATGGTCAAGCCCTTACAAAACACTCACTTAGCCTTTGAAAGAGAAACACAGAGAAGAATTGCTGAATGAATTATTTGTTGTTTCTAACACACATACTCAATAGCTGGCATTTAACCATTTGCAGGGATCATTTCCAAGAATGGCGTTGATAGATAGACAACGAAACAGAAATCACGTCCCTATCCAACGTGATTCAGAAGAACATTTATAGCATTTGTGACAAATGGCAGTGTCAATGTCCTTTAAGTGAAGATAATACTATCTATAAAGCTTAGTTTAATATTCTTTAATATTTTTTAAATTAGAGTAGGCAAACATATGGAGGGAAGCATTGCCATTCTTACTATAAGAGAAAATTCAATGTGGATTCAGTTATTTTTTCTGAGTTCTAAAATGTTTTTGTATTTTTTATTTAAAAATTATTTTTGATTGATGAATAACCTTATACAACTTGTGAGGTACAATGTGATGTTTGATTCATATATGTACAGAGTAGTGAACAAATGAGAGCAATTAGCATATCTATCACCTTAAACTTTATCATTTTTTTAAAGGTAAATACATTCAAATTTCTCTCTTCTAACTATTTTTTGATATATAATACATTACTGTTAAGCATATTTTTACCATGAAAAGAAACATTACATGGAATAAGGGAAAACACAAACTGTATTGATGATTTGATCAAATCATGCCTCTCAGAGTTGTCGATACAAAATTTGCCTGTGTGAAACTTGAATAATTTTACCAACTTAGATGAATTCCCTCCAGGGTCTCCCAGACAAGTACTCATTGTGGAAGTGAGCAAATCTCTGGAGAGAAACCACTGCAGATCAGGCTGAATGGTCACATGTAAGTGTGCTAAGATTCGCCAGAGCCAAAATCCTGTTTAGTTCCTCAACCCCATGAGTTCCTTCTGCACCAAACAGACTCTAATTTTCACCACCAAAAAGAACAACACACCTTCCCTTCCTCAGCACAAGGAAACCTCTCTAAAGTCAGAAATCTCTAAAGTCTGATGATTAAGTTAGTATTAGATTCCTACCAGAATCAAGAAGAAAGGGCAGAAAGATGATGGTCTAGTGTTAGGTAGGGTTGCTGCCTTCTTCTTTCAGGAATTAATAGAAAGAAACCTGTCTGTTAAGCTCTCTCCATACTGCATTTATCAATTCTCTTGAGATTTAGGTGGAAGTTTCACATTGTTTTTCTTGGTTAAAAGTCAAAATTGTTTCAAGAGTCAAGCTCACTTCTCTGACAGTACAAGTTTACTTAGTGCTCAATAGATATATAAAGAGATGAATTTTTGATAATGAAAGAAATTATCAGTCAACCTTGACTAGTGTTTAAATTCTTCTCAGTCCTACCCACTTTTACATACTCAAATTCTTGGCTCCAAATATATAGTTTTTTGAGTAATGCCTACATTTTAAAAATTTCACCCTTTGATCAGTTTTCTCTTTCCCTAGCTTGCCTCTACTACTCTTTCCTCTAGTTCCTAGCATTCTTTCTTCCAAGATTAGCCCTCATGCCACCTCCTGATGGTGTGTATTACTGCTTTCCAGTAATATACACAGTCAGTATCCTGTAGCAGCCATTGCTTTGATTTCTGATGATAAATGGGCCATCTAAACTCCTTGACTGACCTCTAAGAGGTCAGGGACCATATTCTTGCAATATCTAAAATATTACCAGTTTAAATAGGGGAGCACCCTACTTGGTGCTACTATCTGCTAGCTGTGTAGCATTCAGCAAGGTATTCCATATGGTTGTATTCCAATGCCTTTATAAGTGGGTGACTTTTTTTTAAAGTACATATGTGTACAGGGTTGGTTCAAGAAATAAACTGAATAATTCACGTAAGCAGTTTAGAACAGTGACTAGTATATAACACTGCTTCAATAATGCTGACTTTCATTAATATCAAGTGATTCCAGTCTTCACATGCTACTAAGTAGTATATAATTAGTAGTAAATGGATAATAAATTATTACATTGGGATTTTTTACAAGCTCATCTTTGGGCTTGTAGAGCAATTTTCTTACAAATGATTTCATGTACCTTTTAAAAATTTATAAAATGACACAGTGTTATGCACAACTATTCCACTTCATGCTAAATTGAGCTTCAAGAAACTGCCAATATTTGAGCTCTTTTAGCCTAAAACTAACAATTCCATATGGCTTAACCTAAAGTAGCCTAGCTGACAGAAGTGTTAAGTCTTTTCCAATGTGGCTGGAGTTTGGATTTGGCACCAGAGAATCCTAAGGCTACTCCTAATAACAATATGATGCTTCCAGTAAGACTCTCACTCTAAAAGGGTTGGTCTCTCAAAATCAAGGACCTAGTAGTTGAGCCAGGATCCATCTTTCTTCACATAGAGAATCCCATCAACTGTACTCCTAGAAAGTATACCCTTCATCTCCAAATACTCACACTTGTACATATTCACTTTACTGAATCTGAAGCCTGAAATTCTTCCCTTCAGGATATAAACACACAAGTCAGTCACCTATGCCTTGCCAAAAATATAAACAGATGACATCAATAAATCATCCCCATCATTATAAACAACATCATGATACATTCTCACTCCACTATTGGTCCTCGCTGAAGGTCTTGCATATATATTCTCAGTTCCAATCTACATTTTCCTTTTTTGAGAATAATAGTCTATACTGTCACTACTTCATTTCATTGTGTATCACTCATTCAGTCATCCATTCACTTATAAATCAATTACAATCTCTTTTTGAACTCCACCTCTGATTTATATCTACTCTGACAAAGATCACCACTGACCTTTATATTGCTTAGCCTTAGACTGTTATTCATGCCATAACTGATTTGAACAGATTGTAGAATTTGAAGACATTGGCCACTCTTTCCTTCAGCATTCAGGAAAACATTTCCCCCTGGGTTTCTATCTTTTTGGCAATCTCTCTTTCATCTGTCCCATAATCTCTTCTTCCACCTTGAATATTGGTTTTTTTTTTTTTAACCCAGGGTTCCAACTGAAGTTCCTGGTTTGTCCTCATTGTACCCACTTTCTAGAAGCACTGAGCCCACAACCATGTCTTTAAGTACCTCCTAGTACCTAATGGCTACAAACCTAGCCTGTTGGCCTAGACCTGCCTGCGGATTCTCAGATGAATATATCTGACAACTAATGGTCCTATATGGCAAAATATTCATAGAACTCACAAATTGAACTTATCCAGAACTGAGCTCATGATCTGCTACATGGATATAACTGTCCCTTTGTAGTGACTGCCATCTTTCATATTTTGGATTCTTAATCTTGGCTACTTGAGTGGGAGGTTCTTCTGTTATTTTCTGCCTTATCTGACCACCCATTCCTATCACTCCACCCCATTCATTGTACTTCCTCATCTGGACTACCTGGCCTACTATTGCTACCAATTAGTCAGATGATGGAAAACATATCAAACAAATGGACTGATGAATAATGGATGAGTAAATGGATAAAAGGGTATAAAACCATGGAAAACAACTGATCCCATCCCTCTCCACTAAAATACTGCTCGTTAATAGGGTAGGGAACTGTCCTTACCACAAATGCCTGACTGGCAGAGGTGTGTGTTTCATGGCCACGAGGGCGCCACCCCAGTCTAGGAACCAGACATTGTACTCTTCATCAAAGATCTGGAACAACAACAACAACAACAACAATCATAGCAACACCTTACATTTGCATAGTGCTTAATACTTTACAGGCTTTCACATACATTGTTTCATCTAGATCCTGAGCCTTTCAACAACCCTATCAGACAGTTTGGCAAGGATTATCCCCATTTGGTAGATGAGGAACTGAGCTCACAAGAGAACAAATAACTCTCCACAGGCAATTCAAATAATATTTCCAGGGTTCTTTTCACTAGTCATGTGAATTAGTGTGCTACATGAAGGTGAGGCAATATGGTGCATGATCAACTAGGTAACCCAAGGAAAAGTGTGACTTCAAAGATTTTCCCCCACCTTTGAATCTTCACAAGTTCCTACTTATTCTCCATTTCTTGTCATCTATTGAAATGTTTGCTAATTTATAAATTATCCGTGTCTTATAGTGTTTATATTTACCAGGGAACTGAAAAGACAAATTCCCTAGACACTAGGATAACTGACTACTTAGACTTAGCCACTACCTCCCTATTTACCCTGAAGATTAGATGAAGACCTAGATTTTGTGCCTATGAAGGCTTTTTCAAAAATTTTTTTAGAATATGATATTTACAGGGACTTGAAGCTATTCATTCTCTGATTCATGTATTCGTCTATAACCTATTTATCAATTCACTCATTCAGTGACCCATCCATCCATTTATTCATAGTCATTTACTAAGCACCAACTATGATACAAGGCTGTAAACTAAAGCAATTTTCAGACCTAATTTGACTTATATCAATGTCAATATCTATATAGATAGATATAGATCTATCTATCTATATAGATATCTATATATATAAACTTGAGGCCAAAACTGGAAAAGCATTTCTCCAGCAAAGAACTAACCTCAAGTTCAGAGTTTTTCAGTTCCTCCAGCACTGAAAACTGGTGGTGGCTCTTGCAGCCTAGAGAGGTTGGGATGGTGGATTAGGTAAAGAGGGCTGGAAGGAGCTAAGGAGGGACAGATAGATGTAAAAGGGGAATAAAAAGAAGAAAAGGGGCCACCTGTACATATGCCCTAATGAACATTCAGAGAAAAAAAAGTTTTCTCAGCCCTAAAACATTTTTCTTCTTCACGTTTATCTTTTAAAGAGAGACAAATATCCTACTAATGGTGAGTCTTAATATTCAAAGGCTTTAAGGGGGTAACTGACTTATACTTAAAATATAGACAGAGACTTGGTGCCTGTAATGCTAGGCTTTTCTATCTGGGGCTTCAAAGATAACTCTATGCTAAGCTGCATAATGGAGAAGCAGGTGGGAAGTCCTTGGATGAGGAACACAGGAAGAGACTTGATGCTGAGGAGGAGGGAGACGTCATTCTCACACTTTCTCTACTGTCATTCTGGCCTCTGCTAACTCTTACCCTGTCAGGTACTAAATGAAAAGTGGAAGCCTTGGCTGTAAGGGAAAGTGGGAAAGAAAAACAAAATAGTCACAACATAAGGAAGGTATGCTGCAGTGGCTACCTAGTCAGGTGAGCTATTTCTTGCAGTGGAGGGACAATGATGTGTCTGTTGGGAATTTTATACCAGTTGGGACATTTGTGTTCCAGCATCCACCAGCTTTTAGCACTTGCAATAGGTAATTTTATGTTTTGATTTTTCTTCATTTTTATTAGGATATATTCATTGTATAGGGAAAATTCATTGTGACAATTCCAAATAGGCTTACATTGTACATTGGTTAGATCATCACCACCATCTCCTCTGACCCCTACAACTCCCTCCCCACCCCACTTAAAGCAACTGTAAGAGGTTTCACTTTTTTATTTCATATATGTATATGAAGCCCATCAACCACATGCCCTCACCTCATCTCCTCTATTCACCTTTCCCCCTCCCAAAAGTACCCCTCCACACACTGTACCTATTTTATAGTGCCGTCTTTCTTTGTTAATTCCAAAGTTAATGAAGTATGATTTTAGTTATATTTCTTCTCCTCAGCCACCTTATTATGCCTTCTGAGTGTGAAGCTCGACACATTCTTCTCTATATGTCTTATAGTGCTTAAAATAACTGCTATATGTAGTAGGTACTTAGCAATATTTTCAGTGGTGGTAGTGGTGAAAATGGGGGCGATGATGATATGGATGATGATGGTGACAATCTTCACTACAGCATCCAAAAGAGGAACTTGTCCAACCAGATTGCTAATGGTGACTTCATCTGCATTATCAAAACATTCAGTGCTCTTTCCTTGTCTTCCTCAGATAGAAATATTCTCACCTTTTAAGACTTAACAAAATGTGACCTCTTCTTGCGAAGTCTATCTCAATTTCTTGAGTAGGTTCCCCTCTTTCCTTTCCTTTCCTTTCCATTCTAATAAGGTCACCAAAACAGTGTAATCACTCTGAACTACAGTTGTTTGTGAACTTGTTTCCTCTATTTAATTTTGAGCTCCTTAAGGAAAGGAACTCTCACTCCTGAAGTTTCGGCCTGACACTTCACTGATACTGATATTGGGTCAATAGTTTTTGTCCATTATGGTACTAATGAGACTATTTACCTTTAAATTAATTAAAATAAATAAAATGTTAAGTTCCTCTGCCACACTAGCCACCTATCCAGAGCTCACTAACTGTGTGAGATGGCATAGACACAGAACTTTCCCATCATTACTGAATTTTCTATTGGATACATTGCTGCTCGTAACAGTGAATTAATGTTTCTCATAGTCTCATACTTACAGCTGGGTCTAAATAATTCTAAAACTACTGCCGACTTTCATGGCTTTGCCCGTTTTAATATTCTAATTCTTTCATTTTGTAGATAAAGAAACAGATACAGAAAGGTGAAGAGACCTGCTTGCCAAGATCTCTTGGCACATTAATGGTAGAAACAGTTTTATTGGTTGTATCCCCAGAAACCAGCACAGTATTTAGAATCTAGCAGATGTTACATACCTACTGCTGAAGGAAAAAATGAACCAGCTGGGAAAATTCCAGTTCCTTCTATTCCCTGCCCAGTGCTCTTCCCATCTTATGCCATTGCCTCCCTAAACTGCCAGCCAGATTATCCAAACTGAACGTTTAATCAAACTTTTTTGCAACTACAAAGTCATAATGAATCTGAAAACCTATAGAAAGGGGAGACGTTAGCAGAACTTACTCTAAATGCCTCTTCCCTCTTCATGACTCATCCCACTTACCTGTCTCCATGTGTTGCCCCCATCCGAAGAGATGAACACACCAATATCAGTATATGAGAGTTCTGGACCAATATTGCCTAAAACATAAGCAGATCATTTGAAATTGTCAGACAGGTTACAGATTAAGTGTGCTCAGGTTTAGGGCAGGGGCAGCAGAAAGTAAAGGTTTTCCAAATGATGTTTACAGTTAATTCGTGCTTCTCTTTCTTGGTGCCATATCAAAAACTCAGCAGGAAGAAAAACCCAATTTGGGGGAACAAGCAAATAGTATGATAGAAATGTATTTTTAAATGGTTAAGGCTCAAAGACTGAATATCGATTATCTTGAGTTTCATGAATTATTCACTCTGTATTCCAATACTGATGTAAATTGCTCTTGACTGGTGTCCCATGAATATGGCAAAGAATGGAAGAATAGATATGTATGGAGAAGCTGGTCATAGGGGTCCCTTACTCCTCAGAAAAACTTATATGTATGTGAGTGAGAAAGTGTATGCATGTTGATGTGTGGATATGTGTTTGTGTGTATGTTTCCAGCTTAAATTTCCTGGTTTATCTCTTGAGCACCAGGAAGTTGAGGGACCAATGCTATAGGTTACATAATCTAAATTACAGATTTCCCAGAATAAGATAACCAAACTCAGCATACAATGGCCATTAAGCATGAAAGAGGAAGGTACCCCACTATGCTTAGACTGTTCACATTTATTGTGGTTGACATCCTCTTCTATCCTTCACATTCTCTTCTCTCTGTCCTTCTTCTTCCCGTGACACTCTATTACTTTGTGGCTCTGTTCACTAAAAAGACAGTAGTCAAGATTTTCTACTCTACCTATGTTACCCGAGTTTTCCCGATGGATGGTCCCCATTTCAGATCCTTGAACAGTGCCCCCAAACCTAATAGAGTTCGACACATAATGTGGAATGAGCGCATGAGTAAATAAAATATTGAATGATGTTCTAATGTTGAAAGCCAGGGAGGTATCTTACACATGTAAGAGTTTATCACATTGCTGATATTTTTTCTTTAAAAATAGCAGGAAGGGAATGTTAGCTCCCACACATCTGTAGCCTAAATAAGAGCACAATAAAAATGCAATAATGAAAATGTTAATTGAGCTCCTGACATTTAATGCTTCAAAATGAGAAATTAAAGCCAGGCTACAGCTTGCCAAGTTCCCATCAGCATCAGGGAGCACACAGCTAGTCAACTTGTTTTGACACTCAGGTTTCCAAAAATAACCCTGAGGCTCAGGGCTCAGGCAGTCGGTTAGACAGAATCAGGTAGATTTGGTGAGCATCTCTATGGAGATCTCTTTGGAATTCGGAATTCAACGCTCCAAAAGCACAAGTTTTAGGAGCCACAGATGAAGAAAGTAAAAAGTGATGGGTCAGAGAAATCAGCTCAAGTTGTTTGGTGTGATGGTTGCCTGGAACACTGTGCTTAGAAGAATTTGGAAGCGATAGGTGCTTTTAACACAATAGAGGATGGTGATCCATTAATAACATTTACCAAGAGTGATGTGGGAGACAGGCAGCAAGAGCATGTCTACATATTTGCTATCCCTTCCACAGCTTTTTAGGATCTATTCCAGCACCTCTTACCCTTACCCTTCTTACATGTTAGTGCTAATAATATTCTCAGCCTTTCAAAGCTTGATTAGACCGATTTTGGAGGCTTTCTGGTAGTGAGAATCTCAGGATCATAGTAAAGTCTGTTTTTTAAAAATATCCTCTGTCAATTGAAGAGCTCCCTGCAAGATACAGTGATGACTACATGGACCAAAAAGTTGTTCTCAGATGGAGAGACAGAAAAGATGTACAGAGGAGGATTTGATCTTTCACCTAAGTGGCCCTTGAGCAATCTCTGATAAGAAGAGCTTGGGTGAGGATAGCATAGAAAGACTGGAATACAGAGCATCACAGGATAAAGTTGAACTTGGAATGGTCAGCCTGAGTGGCTGCTGAGCTTGTTGGAATGAAGAAGCTGTAGCTGTAGCCACCTGAGTGGTGTTAGAGTAGGGAGGGAGGAAGGGTGAGATGGGAAAACAGGGAGTTTCCCTCATCAACAGCTGAGTTGGTAAATACCCTTTCTGGTAGCTTGACACAACTTGCTTACCCCAGCTTCCTCCCAATGCTTCCCTTCTCTGCTCCTTAGTTAAACTTGTAAAAAGAGTGAGATAATTTTTAGACTCAGAGATTAGAGATTAGAGATGCTTCTCTCATCACTACAGATGACAGAAAGAAAAGTTACCTATGCAGGGGGTGGCAAAAAGGACTCAGTGGAGAAAGGCCATACATGGTGCACAGTCAACAATTGCAGGAGGAGATGTATCAAGGAAGAGAAGAACCTGAGGTAGGGATGGGTTAGCTGTGGAGATGGCATGTTTAGAACCTCAGGGACAGGTGTGGTTAAATGATTATAGGATTGAGCCCTACTCTGAAGTCAGAGGGAGAGTGAGCTTGGGCATGACACCTCTCCCACTTACCCTTCATCTCTTCATCTATAAATTGAAGAGGATTGTGACTGCTGGGTCTACACCATGGAATTGTTGTGCAATCAGGACAAAGAGAATGCTTTGCACACTGTAAAGCACTGTGAGGTTGGAAGCTCTTTACTACTAAATGGAATCCAGTATTTGGAATACTGGGAACCTTAGTGTTCAATTGCCAAACGCTCCAGACTGGAATTCCATCTGCTTTTTGAGATGTCCTCAGTGAGAGGTGGAAATGAGTCTCAGGGCACACATTCATCCGCACAGCTTCCCTGAGACCACTTCTCAAGGCAAGGCTGGATGAAGGAGCGAGAAGAGTGGAAGGGAGACAGCTCGATAGTCCTGGGGCGTAAATGTAGGAAAACTCACTGCCTAAGAGGCCCCATGAATGCCACTGAAGGCATACTTGGGTGATGTCATGATTGTTTTCCTGATAGCGAATAACCGTTCAAGGAGACCAGAGTAGTGGAGTAAGGAAAAGCTGGGCATGGGGAGGAATAAGCCAGTGATTTAGCTCTGGCTTTTCAGCAGGAACTTGTCATCTGTGTTATATCCCTCCTAATGTCTCAGGACTGGTAAGGAGCCTCAGAGATTATGAGGGGGAGAGAAGAAGGAGTTAGTAAATTTTGATATACACGAACAAAAACGTGCAAAAAGAAATCTTTAATGTCCTCATGCTTGTTAATTCAAAACAAACCTAACGTTAGACTAATTTAATAGCACATGCTGTTCACAGGTAATAGTAATTACTGCTAATCCTACTCCACTAAATGCTGAGCCCTCTTATAAGTCATCTATCTATCTATCTATCCATCTATGTTTGTTTTTTGAGACAGGCACTTATTATACAGCTTAGGCTGGGCTTGAATTTGTGATCCTCCTGCCTCAACTTTCCAGGTGCTAGGAGGAGAGGGTGCACTCATTATGGCCAGCTCTCCAATCTTTAGACACATTTTCCATCTCTAATTCTTTTTTTTTTTTTTTTGCAGTAGTGGGGCTTGAACTCAGGGCCTACACCTAGAGTCAATCCACCAGCCCTTTTTTTGATGGGTTTTTTTCTTTTTTTTTTTGAGATAGGGTCTTATGGACTATTTGCCTGGGCTGGCTTCAAACTGTTATCCTTCTGATCTCTGCCTCCTGAGTAGCTAGGATTATAGGCATGAGTCATTGGCTCCTGACCCATCTCTAATTCTTGTGACACACTTTCGAGGTAAAAAAAAAAAAAAACTTTTGTTTACACATGAGGAAAATGAAGCTCAAAAAGTAAAAACTAAGCCAAATTCACAAGCCTAGTAAGTGTCAGAGCTCAGCTTAGAAAGCAAGATGACAGGCTCCTGGGTTTCATTGCATGCATAATGTATGCTTATGATTTATGGGTTTTATTGAAGGAGACGAACAATTATATTCTTCTGATGCAAGAAGAACAGCTTTAACATCTACGATATTAATTAAGATAGGTAGCTTGTACTGAGAGTTCAATATTTCCTGAGCCCTGTTCTAAGCATTTGAAATTCATTGCTTCATTAAATCCTGCAATTCTATTACGTTAGCACTATTAGTCCCACTCTGCCAATGAAAACACTAAAGTTCAGCGTGGTTAAACCATATTGAACAATTCCTAGCTACATCACAAGCATTCAAATCATGTTAACCTTTATCCTTGATCACTGTTTGCCAGTGTGGCTTCTGCTCCAGTACTGATCTCCTTGAGGCCTTCAGGAGAGGCGAAGGAAGCAGCAGCCTCTGAGTTGGAAGAACCAACTCACATGGATGGTGGAATATGGGAATCACTCCCCAAGCCAGAGAACAGCAACAGAGCCTGTCCTCATCTCTCACTGTCCTGGGCTCCTGAGGTCAGTAGTGTTCATCATGATGGATTCAGTTCACATCAAGTTGAGAGGAGTTGATTGAAATGCAAGCAGGTGGTGCTTGCTGTCCATCTGAATAAAAAGGCTGCTTACTGCTAGTATTTAAGTTCACTAGATTGGTGGCTTGGAGAAGGAAGCCAATATCTAAGAGAACCAGAGCTCAAGGTTGATGAAAGAAAACAGAATATTATCTTCTCAGAAAGTCACTATGAATTTATCTGCTTTCATTAGAAAAAGAGCTGCCTAGCACCAGAGCTCTAACTTCTAAGATTAGAAGCCTGCCTTGCTTTATGCTGTCAATGTATTCCTGAAAAGGTGCATGCAAATCAAATGTATGCTAATAGGAACATATTCCCCTGAGACTTTCATTTTCATCTCAGAGTTGCTTTATCTTCACTTCTGATTGATGTTAGTGGACAGTGGTTCCAACAATGCAACCTTAAGTTTTTCTGCCCTTTCCCCCAGGCACTCAGGCAAGTGCTTAATCATGTGTAAACAAACCTTCACATGCACCAGAGACCTCCTGATTAAAAACAGCTCCGGGGTGAAACCCTTTGTAAAGTATCCTCTGTGTAAAGAGAAAACTGCCCCAACTGATATTTGGAGAGCTGGAAAGTTCATACATCATGTTTTCTTAAAGTGAGAATTCCTTTTTACAATCTCTCTGACTGGTCAGTTGACTTTGACAGAAACTCTGACTTCTTGTTAAACACAGGGGACTGCTCTCAGACTGGGTAGGATGCATTAACCTAAAAATATCAATTTTCCAGAACTCTTTGCACCAATGTGCTTTGGAGATCCAAGAATCCTGTATATTTTCTGGGGAGGGTTCCTGTAACTTACAAGTGATGCTCAAATGAGTTCATGACCCAAAACTAAGTGGCAAACGTATTCCAGAGGTCCTCCGTAAGGATGAAGCCCAGGGAGTTTTCCTTACCTGTGGCCACCACAAGACCTGGGGCTGTCTCCTTGCTTGAGATTCTTCCTGATGAATAGGGATTTTCAGAAAGCTGCAAGTGTAGGTGTAAGGAACAGAAGGGCTAAAATGGAGAAGAAGAAAATTGTTTTATTCCAGGAAATTCCTGATCCCCACATACCTTGCCCTACTAGAGATGGGGCCTCCAATGATCAACTTCCAGAAACAGCAAGATTTTGAATGATGAGCCTCAGACTTAGTTTAGGGCAGGAGTCATCTCCGTCTGGTATGGTGATTATTTTACATGGGAAGTTGTCCTGAGCATCATCTATAGCCCCTTCCCTCACCTGATCCTGTCCACCATCATGAGCCTAGCCCTCTCTCACTGTCATCCCATCCAAAGGCCAAAGTCTCCATGGCCTTTCCTTCCCATAGAATAACAATGGCCTCCCATGGCTAATTTGACCATCAAATTCTGCTCCTTAAGGTTCTAAGGGGCCACCAGGAGAAGTGCAAAGTGGAAACAAAGTGGCATACATACTCCAGGCTGTCTACATTCTTCTTCAACTAGATTGTCTCCGTTTCTATCTGTTTTGTGTATTTTGTTTCTGTTTATAATTTACTTAAAATATTTTAAGCCATTATCTGAAATTCATTTAGGCTTATGTTCTTTATTTATTTACTTATGAATTGGGGGCATTTAAAAAAAGGGCTTGGTGATTTACAGAGATGTATTCTAAATAAAAAATAAGAGAATAGAGGAAAAGCAAACCCTAGGTTAAGCAATAAGATGAAGCCATAGCTAAGGTTTAAGGGTAAAAATCATGTTATGTTACTGGGAACCAGTGGCTCACTCCTGTAATTCTAGCTACTCAGAAGGCAGATCAGGAGGATTACGGCTTAATGCCAGCCTGGGGAAATGCTTCGAGAGACCCTATCTCGAAAAACACCATAACAAAAAAGTGCTGGTGGAGTGGCTCAAGGTGTAGGCCCTGAGTTCAAAGCCCAGTACCGCAAAAAAAAAAAAGAAAAGAAAAATCATGCCATGAGTTAGTCCAAGAGGTAGGCAGTCAATTGTCTCTGACTTCCCTAGTAACCCTAAACAAAACAAAACCAACCACCAAACAAACAAAAAATAACCGTGGATTTAGATTAAAAACTATAAAAGGATAAGAACCCCATTTACCTTAGTCTCTACTATGTTCCTAACATTTAACTAGAAGATGATAACTATGATAGTTCATAATCCTTTCTGAATACATGGCGAATGGTAACGTTTTTGCTCTGGAAAAACATAATTACTTCTGGGACCCTAGAATATTTTTGGGTGTAGGTCCTCATTAAGAGGGCACTCTCTCCCTAACTAGTGTTGCAACAGATAAGGGCCAAGATGCCATCATACACACCACATCCTCCATGGTGCCTACCTCACCATTCCATACAGCAGGAACCTGGGAAGCTGACAGGTTAACTGGCCATCCCATGAAGACAAAGCATTCTGATCCTTCCCGGCTAACAGCTACATTAGTGCTACTGAGCCCTGCCTGGGCTCTTTCTTATATTCTTCTTTATCTTACTATGAGCTGTATCACATTAGATTTTCTCAGTAAAATTCTGTGCAATTCATCCAGGCCTTCCACTAATTGGTGTGGCAGTCTGAGCCTATAGACCAACATCCTGACAGTTGTAGGAAATTGCTGCTCAGCAGCAGCCAAGTTCCAAAGACCTCTTGGTGTAAGAAAGCCTTTTAGTAGCATTCCCATGGGACCAGCCTGCCCTGTAACTCCACATGAGACAGGATGACTGACCAGCAGGCAGTGCACTGGGCTTCCTCTCAGGTCCACATCCGGAGCTTGCAGTAGACGCCAATCCCTGCCTTTGTTGTAAGTGATGTATGTCTTCACTTGGTCATCCACCTTTTTGTTTGCCAGGAATATCCCCTTGATACCTGCTACCTAGGAAAAATGGTGAGAGATGGAGAACCATGTTGGGCCAAAATGCCTGTAGTCTGGAAGAAGTCCTGAAAGAAGCTTCAGCAGCTTTCACAGGTGGTTTGGGATGCAAAAAAGAAAAAGAGGACCATGGTGAAGAATGCCATATAACCTGCAGTCTCTAAAAGAAATTTAAATTTAACCTTGTACACTACTCCACTTTCCCAAAATATCCCATCCCTTTTATCTATCTTTTTTTCCCCACTTTTCCTATCTCTGTGCTTTTTCCATAGGATCTTATCTTTACTTAACTGTTAGCTTTCCTTCTGATAATAATTGAAAGAATAACCCTTTCGAGAGAACATTATTTTAGCTCCAGAGAGGCTTGTAGATGGGTCTTGAAGGCATCAAGGAAAGTCCTTAATGCTAGAAGTCCAGGAGTCTCAATTAATACTAAGGTAGATATTTTTGAGAAAATGACCCAGCTTGGAGAGCTGACATCTATTTCTGTCCATACCACTAACTTACTGTGTGACTTAAGGCAAATCACATATCATCTTTGGGTCTCTGCCAATGCTAACTCTAAAATTGGTGGTTTCTTTTCTTTACTTTTGTTGGCTAGCAAAGGGTCCATGAGATAATGCAGAGCACTTCTGCCAGGGTTTCTGATATATTGGGATTTGCACGCCCTTGATATTTAGAAGGGGGAAGAGTATGGCTGCGAGACAAGTAACTGGAGGATTAAAGATTTATCACCTAGAAGGGTTCTAGGCTAAGCACAAATCTGACTCAAACTTTTATTCCTTCTATTCTACATGCTGAGCAAAGAGAACAGACTATTTAAAATGGCAATGTCCTGCATCAAATAAAAGATTCCTGTAACTTTGGAAGTTCCAGCACATTCCAAAGCCAAAAGCTAATTCAGATAAGCAAAGGATGAATGGCTGGTTTGCTGGATGAAACTTAAGACACATCAAGGTTTTAAATTTTATCCTCTATTCTCATTCATAGTTAACTGAAGTTCACTTTCATTCCAAAAGAACACCAGTGGAAGGAAAGGGCAAAACTTCCATGGAAGGGATTGGTGGGATTTTATTTGGGGGGTATTTTTATTTTGGGGGGGGTTATTGTCTTCTTATTTTTCCTAAAAGATGTATTTTAGTTGATGAAACAAGACGTCTTTTGTTTGTTTGTATGTTTTTTTTTATTAATCTATTTGGATTTGAAAGAGAATGACAACCTCCCCCAAACAAACAAAAACTACCAAACAAGTGGAAAGAGAATGCCAGGAGAAGAATAGGATTGTGTGGGAAGGACATCACCGGGGAATATGACAAATGGCAAGAATGGAATTGATTATATTCTAACCTTGAAGACAGGGTAAGCACAGGGAGATGCCAAGATGTGTGTGTGAGTGATTGCCCATCATTCCTCACAGAGAACAGAATGTGGTTTCTCTAGAAACTTGTGCCAGATGGAAACCTTTTTTGGTGTTCTCTTTGGCCACAGAGCTGGTGCCTTTTCTGCTGGACTGCCAAGTAACACTCAATCTTAAATCAGTTGGTCCCCTTCCAACTGAGTTGGGTACATATTTGTACCATAAGCATTTCTGTCTATTTCTTGGTAGAAAATACACAGGTCAGACTCCAGACTCATGGACCTTCCATCCATGGTCCCTGCTTCCTAGCTGGATGCTTAGTAGCAGAATGTGTGCTGTTTGCATGGGCATGCTAGCAAATGGAATGGCCACTCTTATATTTTCCCACTGAGAGCTCCACCACTCTTATGGTCATATTCTTGTGTCCTACAGCAAAATTATGAGGCAAAACCTGGGGAATAGGGACTGAGAAGTTGCAGAGAGGAGCAATTTCCATGGAACCCTTGTGAAGTTCTGAAGGCATTTCTCTGGTAGCAGCATATAATGCCATAGCAGTTTCCCTCCTTCTGAAAGAAGCAAAACACTCTCCATCTGCATTTGGATAATTCAAAGTCCTTACATTATTACTGAATGGCTTCTTGGCTCCAAGTCTCATATAAGTAAATGGACAATAAGTTTGGAGGGCACTTTGCTTTTATGTATCCCAGACCAAGACCTCTCACATTTTGACTGTAACCCAAGTTAGGAATACATTTATGTGTCAACCTAGTAGGCATGTCCATGTATGCATGTATGTGTACACAAGTATGTACATATACACAAAGGTGTCATGGAGCACTACTTAGCCTCATTATATGAAATGTAAAGGAATCTGAGAATAAGACACGTATGTTTACTCTTCTTTATCCAAGGAAGTACTTAGCATCCATATTCTATTATCAATTATTATCATATTATTGTTATGCTGGGGATACATCATGGCATTTACAAAAGTTCTTACAGTATATCATAGTTGAATTCACCCAGTCCATTGTTTGCCTTTACCTGCCCCTCCCCATTCCTGGAATAGTTTCAACGGGTCTCACATTTTTCCATTTTCATTCATAAGTACACAGTATTTTGACCACATTCCCCTTCCTACACCTTCTCCTTATATCTTCTCCCCTCCCCCTGGTAGCAACCCCCAGTCAGGGCCCATTTTACTTTCCTGTTTTCTAATAAATTTTAAGCATGCTTTCTCCCATTGGTGTCTGGAATCATAAGTGTGGCTGCTGCTGCTGATCTTGCAATCCAGGGGGAAGGGTACAAGTTTATGTTGGTGCCCATAAAAGAGTTCAAGGCATGAAGCATGGATGGGCCACTTTCCCTCTGGGAAATAATTTGAAGTGCAGAAAGAAACTGACAGCAGGCATGTTGGCAGAGCATTGTGTCCAGGTGGCATGGTCTTCTGCCAGTCGTGTCCCTGGGACCTCAGGACAAAGATGTCAGGGTTCTGCTGAGAAAAGCAATTACTGTGATATGCCCTGGGCTGTCCCTAGAGACGAATCTATGGTGAGGGTCAGAAGAAGGCCAGTTCAGGGAAAAGGTCCCTGTGGAGTTTATAAGCAGCTGTCCATCTGGTACAAGAAGAGTCACAGAAGGTCATAATAAAGAAGGGGATGGAGCACAAACTAGAGAAAAAGATGGCAAGGAAAGATTCATAAGAAGGATAGACAAGAACACAGAGGCTGGCTTAGAGAGTTAGATTTTACTCATCCAGGTATGACAGGGTCAACAGATTTAGTCAGTAAAGAAATGCAAATTAAACCCACAGTGAAGTAGCACTAGGTCTTAATCAGAATGGTGAAAAACACAAGGGGTTGGGTGGTGTGGAGGTAGGAGGATAATCAAACAAATTTGTTGATGAGAGTGTCAAAGAACCACAATGCTCATAACTTGCTGGTAGAGATGCAAAATGACTCTGTCACTTCAGAAATAGTTGGATGGATTTTTAGAAACATAGACTTACATTTGACCTTGACCAAGCAATCACATTCCTAAGTATTTACCCATGATAAATAAAAACGTATATTGATGTGAATGTTTGCAGAAGTTTTATTCATAGTCACAGAACTGGAAACAACCTATGTGTTCTTCAACTGATGAATAACAAACTGTAGCACATCCACACAATGGAATACTACTCAGCAATTAAAAGGAACATCTATCTACACACTTGACAACTAGGTGAATCTCTGATCTATTCTTCTAATTGAAAGACAACCAGACTCCAAAGGTTACCTGGTATGTAATTCCATCAATTGACACTCTAGAAAAGGGAAAAGTAGAGACAAGAAGAAGTCAGATGGATGGATATCTATCAGTAACTCTGTAGAACAGCAAAGGGTCTGTAAAACTGAACATCCTACAAAATGCAATGCCTCTCTGTCTTGATTGTGATGGTAGCTATAAAACTGCATGAATCTCAAAACTCAGAGAGCCATATACCAGAAAGGGTAAATTTTACTGAGCACAAATAAAACTGCATTTCTAAAAACTGTGGGGAAAAAGGGATAGTGGGAAAAGTCTGAATTTTTAGATAGACAGATATGGATTCTTTTCAAGTGTAGTTGACTGCACCTATAGTCAACCATGCATAGTTGAGTCTCCCATAGTTGGTTAGTTGGGTGATCTGAGCCAAGCCACTAAATTCTCTGGAATTAAAATTTCATACATACAATGGGAAACAATGCCTACCAAAAACAGATATTGTGGGGATGAGAAAATAAATAAATTATTTAGGTCTACACAATTCAAGAGACTAATTTTTAATGTTATTTAAAACTTTAACCTATACAATTTTAAACTTAATTGATACTTGGTTTTATTATTGGAAAATTTTTAAGCATGTTTGCATAACTTAGATATGTGAATCTCTTTTTTTTTACTGTAAATTTTATAAAATGTAAGTGCTGATCAAGTATTTCAGGTGAAAATTTATCATATGAATTGATCAAGGGAAGTATAAAATATATACAGGGTTTTGAAGATTTAGTATGAAGAGATAGAAAATAACTACGAATTTTTCATATTAAGTCTACATTAAAATGAAAATAGATATTTCATTCAAATAAAATATATTATTACAATTAATTTCATTTGTTTATTTCTCTCCTTAAAATGTAGGTATTAAAATTTTAAAATGTGTATATAGCTCATGTTGCATATTTACTGTATTTGATAGTGCTGGCAAAGGCATTGCTACTAAACTGTTTTATGTGAATGCTTAACATCAAGGAAAGCATTGAAGAAAATTCATCAGGCCAGCAGCTCAGAGTATGTTTCCATAGCACACGTGTGGGTTTTGGAAAGAATACCTGTTCCTTCACTTGTTCCTGAAGAGTAAGGAAAATGAAATATAGCTTATTGTTAGTGATATGAAATTACCACAATGGAGTTCTATAGAACAGTGTCATAGGAACAATGGTGAGTCACAAACTGGACTGCATTCACTGTCAATGCCAGTCTTGTTTTGAAGAAGCAGATTTCTGACACCTTAAAGCAGAGATCAGTTATTATTTGGCCTTCAAGTGCTATGCTCTCCCTTAATTATGTAAATGCAGCCATGACAATGTTGTACTTTGAAGAAGGAATTAGAGAATGAACAAGGGACTCTCTCTATAGTAAGAGATGACTATAACAGTTTAGTCATAGAAATTGTCTCAGCCTTATCGATTTTTGAAATTGGGTGGGGTTGGCCTACTTTAGTCTTCAAGAACTTTCAGTGCCAAGATTTCAAGTTAAATTCCCCCCAAAAGTTCTTCCTTTCATTGTTTCCTCTCCATTCCCAAGAGGAGGCTTCAGAGGATCATGTGGAAGATGGAATGATATGCCAGTACTTACATGGTCAAGGTCAATCAAAGTCACCTGATATCTTAGTTACCTAATGGCATCAATGACCTTTCAGACAAGGGAAATAGCTATAATGTCCCATCAAACATAAAGTTACAAATTAAACCTGGCACAGGAGACTGTATCACACATGCAAATTTTATTAACTGATTATGTAAATGGGGAAGAAAAAGATCCAGAGAATAAATGAATGCCTAACTCTTCAGGCAAGCTCTTTACCAGTATCTTCACGAAATTCATTCCAGTACTTTACAAAGCCACTCAACATTGCATGAACACAGGTCCGCACTCGCACTCATCTGATGCTGGTTCTCTTCCCTCTACCTCCTTCATGTAAGCCAACACATTTCTCTAAGTCTCTCCAAGTTCCTTAAGTTAGAGTTCACCTTTCCCCATGAGTTAATACAGTTAGGTTGTGATCTCTAACCTAACAGGATCACTTAGATCTTTCCTATAGAGTGTAAGCCTTATGTACCAGACCTCCTATCACCAGAAAAAAATTCACTCTATGAAAGTGTGTTAACCTAGTTGAATTAAATGTGAAAATTTACTGATTTTCCCAGCTGCATCACTCAAGAGCACTTGGAGTCCAGGAAAATTGTAGTTTCCTTGCTAACTGGCCATATGGCACACAATCTCAGTTTGTATGAGAATCTTCAGTAAAGAAGGTTAAATCCTAACCACCCCTAGAGACCAATTAAATTGAGCTTTATCTCCCACCACAGGATGAATCTCCAGGTGCAAAACAACATCCCCGTTAAAAATCTTCAATACGGTCATGGTCTAGAAAATGTTGGTTCCCAATTTATTCACCTGTTGTTAAATGCCTTCTAGAATTTGAAGTCTGATTACTTATCCCACCCTCATTCTTGTCCCTGAAAAGTATCTATTCTATCTAATTAGACCAGCCAACTCACTTTCTCAAAAATCTACACCATCTATCCAGTCTTGGTTCATGCTATTTTTAACACTTCGAATGGCCCCTATTTCTTCACTCCCTCTTCCATAAGGTAAAAGGGACTGATAATATCATTAATACTGAGAAAAAGAACTGGGCATGCACAGGTACAGATTGTCCCTGTGTCAGATCCACCTGAGTAAAACACATACTTTGTACCTCAATGCTGTGTTGTTACAGAAACAACCTTCTACAGGAGAATACTCGATTAACCATTTCTGCCTGTGTCTAAAGAGGTGAATCCAATTCAGGAATGAAGGATTAGTAATCTCACTTCCTCTTATGTAAATTTTAAGGTGCTAAAAGTGTGTTTGATCTCCATTTGTCTCATGCTTTCTCTGTCTCAGTTAGTTCTAGCTCAACTGGTTTTGAGGTTGGTTCTCTTCTCCCATCTCCAGAAGTTCATCATGTAAACCAACACATCTCTCTAAGTCTCCCCAAGTTCCTCAAGTCATAGTTCACCTTTCCTTTTGTGAGCCCATTACATGCCAGAATTTTGCCTCTAATATAAGTTAAGCTATGATCTCTGCCCTAACAGGTTCACTTATATACTTCACATAGATTGTGAGCCTATGCACCAGAAAAAAATACGCTCTGGGAAAGTGGGTTAATTTAGCTGAATTAAATGTGAAAATGTACTGAGTTTCCAAGCTGCAACACTCAAGGGTACTTGGCGTGCCCTTGGTAAAAAGGGAACTTTATTTACTAACCTCCTCAAAACCCAACAAACTGGATTGCAAGCTCCTTAGGGATAAGAATCACACATCCATACAGACTTTCTAATGGGCTTGGACACAAAGTTTGGGCACAATCATTCGGGTAAAACTGAATGAACGACAGGCTCACAGAGCTGGCTTTGAAGAAGTTGCCCTTCCTGGTATGTCTTGCTTCTCAATAAATGTAAAGACACTGCACACTTTTCCCCCAACAATATTGAAAATATAAGACCAACTCCAGCAAGAAGAAAAATAAATCGCATGTGTTTGGGCACATTTTTCACAGTGATTCATGCTTCACTTCAGATCACAATATCTTGAGGTTCTAAATGACCAGGGAGTTTCAGACTCCCTTTCCTATAGGTACATCACAGTGGCAAATTTACCCACTGTATCAGGAATGTCAGAGACACAAGGATTTCTTGTGTGTTGACTATAAAATCATCTGCAGCAATGCCTACTCTCTGCTATTTGGGTCTGACCAGAGATGAATAATTGTCATATCTGTATAGACTTATTGTCTAAACAGGAACTTGAATAGACTCAGTCCTTGGAATATTCATCCAAATCTTCTCCCACGATCTCTTATTACTAATATTGAAGGTGTATCTGTGTCTCCTGGAGTGGTTAGAGGCATGGGAATGTAAGTTTACCAAAGTTACTTATACCCCTTAGTCATCTCTACCAGTCTTCACAACTCTAGGAAAAATATGGAACATTTACCAAACATGGACCTTGTTGTTAAGGGGAATTATTTTAGCACCTGAGTTCCTATGAAAATGGAGTATTTCAACTGCTTTTGTTTTCTACCCAGTGATATTCATTTTTCTTTTTTAAAAATGTACTTCTATTCATGCCATACATTTGTGTTATCACCCTTCTACCTAATGAATTAGTTACAACCTGAAATATTACTAGCACCCTCAGTAACTGAATAGCTAACCTTGATACCAATGCATGGATACTTCAGCTTTGGCAACCACTGTTCAGAGGAGACCACAGTAAAGCAGAGGCACTGAACCCTCTGTTCTAAGAGCTTCTGTTTGTTCCTCAGATAGGAAAATCTACAAGGGAACAGCTCATCCAGGCCACCTGAGGCTACTACCCACCACAAGATTCAACTTAGCTTTACATAGGTGATGTCAAATATCACCACCTGTGTGAATATGATCATCAGCCACTGTTTAATGTAGGACAATAAGACACACCTTTTTTGTTCAACTCAATTCGTCATACCCATGTGGTCAGTCAAGTCCCTCACTGCTCCTAGCACTGTCAAAGGTCATGTACTGTCATAAAAGGTATAAGAAAGCACCACATTCTTAGTGTCAGCGAAACTAGTTTTACTCTACTTCCTCTGTGGACCTTGTTGTCAATAATCTCTATGGTTCCGCACAGAGATTATTCTTTCACTTGTGATCACATCTAAAAATAAAATCTCAAGATAAGTGACATGCTCCTGTCAAAGCCAGGTCTTTTCCCTATAAACCCTGGCATCTGATGGCATCTTAGAAAACTTGAACTCTCACCAGTGATACCTGTTTTTTCCTATAAAATTCATTCATAAATATTATTTTACAAATAACTGAGGCAGGGAAGAATCGCTACTCTTTCTACCCAGGATCCATAAGAAGAAACACAGTTAAAAAGCTATATAGGTATCACCTATGCCATTTAACTTCTGGTATGTAATCATGCTCATACCTGTAAGACCATTAACTGAATTAAGGTTGAAGCCGCACTAGATGCTTTAGATACAACATCTCTCATCTGACAATAATCTTAGGTGGTAAGTATTTAATGTATATTTTCCTGGAATTCAGGCACAGAGAAGTTATATTCCTTAACCTAAGTTACAATCGCTAAGTGGTTCAGCTGGCATTTGAACTCAGAACTCCACTACTTATGTGTATACCATCAAAATTCCTGACAAAGAGAGGTCAGTCTAGGAGAGACAATTTTGGCTACATACCTCATACAATTCAATAATGATGTTTCCCATTAGACCTCGGCTGCTCTTAATGTTCTCCATGGCCAAGGTAAAGAATATCCCCCGCGCGTCCGAGATGTAGAGGTTGTATGTGTCGTTCTGGTTCCATTCTTGCACTGCTGCGAACACTTGGTTCTCATCTGTACTGATGATATGCATGTCCTGTATAAGACAGAAGGCCCGTTAAGCAGCAGATCTCCATATCTCTCTGCCCACCGGGACCCTGAATAATTACCAGGACTTATGAAACGGTTGGAAAAAAACCTTGAGTTGTAATATATCCAGGGTTATAAATTATGAACGAGCATCATGACTTCTATACCTTGCTAAGTGGCAGCAAGATGGGTGTAAGGGGCTTTGGTGGGTATCATTTTCTATGGCTTCAAGGGATTTATCCACTTTCACTTTTTATTTTTATATCTGAAAGTTAGTGTTGGTGCTAACAGAGACATGTAGTCTTCTAAGAGGATTCTCACACATATAAAGAAGACAGGACCTAACCTGTCTTGATCTGCATTTGTGGTTTGACATTTTGTGGTGTAGTGGTTTACATAGTCTTTTTGAGAATCTTCAGTATTAAGAAGGTAGCAAGGAGGCAGAATCAATGAGTCTGGCTCCAGACCTCCCACTCTGCTTCAACCACAGCAGCACCACTTGAATCTGCTGTATATACAGGAATTCTGTCAAAGATTTTAGAAGTAAAAGGTAAGGGAGGGCCTGATGCTAATAAAATGAAATTATGTTTGAAAATCACTGATATGGAGAAAATGATATTCGACCTGGAATTAGGTGTTCTAGATTCTAATATGTGCACCTAATATAAGCACAATGTGTTCACCTCCATGGATTTCCATTTTCTCTCCTAAATAGTGAAAATGTTGGCATGCCAATAAAAATACCTAATATTTGGGCACATTTTAAGTCATCTAAATTAATTCTTTCAGTTGAAATAAAAATAATTCTGTAATGGAGGTAGTATGATTATATCTATTTTCCTGAATACTAAACTCAGGCACACAAGGGTTCACCAAATTGCTTCAGAATATAAAGCTCATAAGTGGTAGAACTAGGTCTTGAACCCCTGAGGCCTGACTCTCTAACAATTTGGATATATAGCCTCTAGATCAGGGATTTCTAACTGATGACAGGGAGTGAATAACGATCGCAAAGGTTAGTTTGACCATATCTTGTGTCGGATATCTGAATCTCTTGTCTACCATGTACATGCTGATATCAACTTCATGGCCTGGATTGTTTCTAAAATTATATCTAGTAGTTGACAATTAAATGTAGTGTGCAAAAGTCTGGCCTTTTTGTAAGTCACACTGTTGCATATTTGGATAGACACTGTAAAAATACTATCAAAATTTCAAATCCTTACCTGGAGAATTTATACTTGGAGCACATGTTGGCATGGATTAACATTTGACTGTACTTTAAACATAAATAAATATATAGCTGTATGTGCCCAAAGTAACAGACAGCAAGAGAAACACCCTTGTACCTGTGGTAGGACACACTGGAAATAGGCCCTTCGCACCTGGAGCTGATAGAAAGTTAATAACCAGGCTGGGTATAGCCTTTTTCTTCATTTGACTAATCTTTCCCAGAAACTGTTATAAGTAAAAGAAGCAGCAAGGCACTATCTTCAGTGTCAGTATCGTGGAGAGTTCCTCTGAGCTGATTTATAAATGAACAAGTTCATTTGATTTGGACAACTGGGAAGTGGGAAAAGTAAGAAAACAAACTCTGGATCTTTAATAGGAGATTCATTCTCAAATGACCTCTAGCCTTGAACTGTCTAGGTCACCTTGACTAAGACCTCACTTTCATTGGTGCTTATACATCTCATAGAATTACAGACTCCTGCTGAGGTACTTGAAAACAGAAAGAATGCTTGCTCTTAAAATCCATGTGACGAGATCTTGTTGTATTGGTGTGGAATGAATGCCCAAGAACCCAGTAGGAGGGGAAACAGCAGCTGCAGGAAATACAGATTAAATTCACTTACCCTGTTAAAAATGCAGTAGAAATGCTTGGTTTTTCCCAGATGTTTTGGTCATAAAAATGAATGAGCTAAGTTATTTTAGACTAAGCTAATGTAGAAGAATTGAAAAAAAAAACAACTTAAAACACCCAGCATGGTCAGGATAAGAGGCAGCTAGGTTTGCTGTGAGTGTATATTAGGTAAATGCTGTCTTGGGGTTGTACCAGCTGGTGAACAGGTATCCAGGTTCTGGAGTACGATATTAGATGTCTTTAGTGTCTAGGATTCTGGGATGTTTGTCTAAGTAGTCCTCAATTTTTCAACTAACAAATTACATTATTAAGATTTAAACCCAAGACTATCATAATCAAGAAACTACTTTCAAAGCACTGTGTTTAGGATATGACTTCAGTACGCATCAAAATAACCCTCATATCTTGGCCAGTTTCTATTTTTCTTTCCTTTTTGAAAACCTCTCTCCAATCTGGGGAGGCCCTCAGATTGCTGAGGCTGGCTTTGAACTCCTGGCTGAGCTCAAGTTACACTCCTTCCTCAGCCTCCCAAGTAGCTGAGATTATATATGTGCACTAGCATGTCCAGCTTGACCTGGAGACCTCAACAGCATGTAAATTCATGGGTCCCACTCCCTGGGATCATGATTCAGTATATCTAGTGTAGAGACTTAGTCTACCATTTGAATAAACCCTCCAGCAGACCCTGCTGCATCTAAGCCTGGGGAATTACTCACTGAAAAACTGAACAAGTGTGACCTATCTCCAAATAGGTCTTATGGTTAAATTGTGGTCAACCAATGAAAACAAGAATATTAAGTCCTCAACAACAAATAAAAGCATTATTAATTAAAATTCACCCAATAGGGTTCTGAACAATAATGAAGCTTTTTTTTCCTTGAATTTAGCTACCTATGGTAGGATACATTCCAAACACATGCTGCTTTCTAGACTGCTGGTCCTACAAACATGTGGGAAGAAACTTGAAAAAGAGAAACAGAAGGAGGGAAGTTGCAGTAAGAGTACATTCAGATTGGGACCTTGCTAAAAGTTGGAATTGAATTTGAAGAGCATCAAAAATAACTACATACAGGTTTTTATTTGGAAAACACTGAGAACTAACGCTCCCTTTCTGTCCTCCCAACAATGATTTGGGAGGCATGAAGTTGCCTTTTGAAATCTAAAACCTTTGTCATATACCAGTTACCACAATGGAGACACAAAGAAGAAAAAAGGTAAAGCCTGACCCCAAGAAGTTGCCTCTGTTGTTGAAGACTTTACATACTCTTGTGAACTTTCTCAAAACTGACTAAAGGCTATATTAGAGGCACTTAACTTGCTAATTAGAATGTAAAGGTTTACAAACGATAGACAGGGTGGAACATTCAAGGAAATAAATGTGTGGAACTCAGTACAGCTTGAAGGTAGTCTTCCTCTGCAGGAGGTAAGGACAGAGAGTGGTTATATCACATCTATGTGGCACACCTAACCTTCATTCTGAAAGTAGTACAAAGTTCTCACAGGGTTTCAAGTGGGAGAAAAGCATGATCAGAGATGCCGTATATAGAGATTTCGTTGGAGAGGATCAAGTTCCTTGTGTTATCATATTCAATGTGGGATCAGTGTGACAAATGGATTTAGATTGGGCTATTGTAGAAGCAAGGGACAAAGGCTTAAAGGGCTATTGCACTAATCCAGGTAATAATGCATGAGGGCCTGAACTAAGGAAGGAAGTTCTTTATGAGGATCCCATGAAATGAATTGGTAAGCCAGTGGCTCACCTGTGATCTTAGCTACTTGGGAGGCTGAGCTCAGGAGAACAGAAGTTCAAGGTCACCCTGGGCAAAGAGTTTATGAGATTCCATCCCCAAAATAATCAGAGAAAAATGCACTGAAGGTGCGGCTCAAGCAGTAGAGTGCCTGCTTTGAAAGTATGAAGTCCTGAGTTCAAATCCCAGTCCCACCAAAAAAAAAAAAGAAATGGATTGATAAGATGTTAAAGAGGTAAAATCTATAGGTGGATAAGGAAAAGGACATATCTACAGTGCTCCAAATATCTGCTCAAATATCTGATTTTTCCTTTACATCATTCATTATGCTCACGATTAAGTAATCGCTTGTTTAATTGTTTGATGTCTTTCACTTTCATTAGACTGTAAGATTCCAGAGAGAAGAAACTGTCTCTCCTATCACTTTATCCAAGTATTTACTAGTGTATCTGGCACATGGCAGACATCCAACAAAAGTTTACAAAATAAGTAGATGATACATGTAAATGAACACAAAAGAAGAATGAGATACAAGGGAGTAGGAGCCCAGTTCCAAATTGGTTAAATGGGACCTTAAGAGAACAGTACTTCAAATAAGCAACTGGATATGTTATCTAGACTTCAGTGGAGAAGTATGGGCTGGGTCTGTGGATACAGTAGACAGGATATGAAAGAAGGGATGAGACACTCAGGGAATACACAGAACACAAGAAGTACTCTTAGGAACAACAACTTTTAAGTGGTGGCCAGAGAGAGAGCATATAGAAAAGGAGATGAGAATAAAATACTGCCTGAGGGAAGAGGATCAAGGATGAACTTTCTTCCTTTTCACATCAAATGCTCCAGAGAAGTGAATAAAGATAGAGGGTAGAGATGTCTTTTAGGTTTAGCATGTAAATGGTCACTAGTAACAGTGGCTAGAGAATTATCAGCGAAATAGTGGACACGTGGCTATAAGGACAAAAAGCAATTAGAAGTGGGTTGAAGAGTGAACAGGAAATGAGGAAAGAGATTAGAATTGCAGATGACTCTTGTAAGGGCAGCTGTGACACAGCAGACAAGGATAAACCAGTATTTGTGGAAATGTAAAAACTAAGGATATAAAAGGTTAATATCATTGTCACTATTATTATACTTTTTCTTAGATAAATTCCCCCTTGCCTGTTTTTTATTATTCAAAATAGGATTAACCATTGTCAAGTAACAACAAACTCAGAGTTAGGTCAGAAAAGACTATTATAGGGAGAATATCCTGGCCTTATCTAAAGCACCTCAGAGTAAAGACAGAAAGAATTGCTTTTATATGGCAACATAAAATAAGTCTAAAAAGAACTGGGTGTGGAGAATGGGGTTAGCAGGTAGCATGATGGAACAATTCAATGGACATTGTTTTCATTGAGGCCAAGTGATTCTCAGAAGTACTGTTAAGGGGAGCAGTTCCTCCTTGTTCTATTTGCTTAAGTTCCCATAAGTTGAATGTGAGGCAAAGTTCAGGGGTTGAACAAAATTAAGCTGGACTTAATTTTGGTCAAGTCAGATTATCAGACATTTATCAACAATTCAGCTAATAATATATGAGATAAATAATGAGAATCTGGCCTTGCTACAGGTAAACAAGGCAGACATCTGAGTCTTAACAAGTCCTATGGCAGAGGGTGAGGCATTGCAGTGAGCCATTTCCCAAACACAAAACAGTGGGGGAATTTCTTAACCTTGGTTGTTTTCCAAGAGCATGGGGTTTCGGCAAAGTTCAACATCATCACTTCTAACCTGAATCCTCTACAGAAAAAAACAAGTAAAAATATAAAACCGATTTTTTTCTTATGGAAATAATTATTAGAGTAGTTAGTTAAGAATAAATTCAGAATCTAAGAGACAAAAGAGGGCATTTAGTGGTAAAATGACAGCCTTGGGCAATATGGAGTCCAAAGTTGGTTGAGATACAAACCCATAATGAGCACTAATCTCTATGCTAGACAGGTTAAGAGCATCAATATTATTTTCCCCTGTGTAACAATTGTTCCTTAAATTTTCTGAGCACTTTACCCTGGACCAAAAGTGAGTCATTCAACGAATCTTCATGAGTTTGTCAAATAGTATTACCATTCCCATTTCACAGATGACAAGGTCATGAATAAGTAGATGGCAGAGTTGGAATGAAAATTCAGAGTTTCTACTCATAAGCTCAATTGTCATTTCCCTAGGCCACTATTTCTCCCTGTCCCCTGCCACCACGCCCTCCACTAGTGCACGTGTTTTGTTTTTATGCCTATGAAGTGAAGAGTGCTAACTCACTGCCCAGGGACTGAACTGTGGAGGACTTAGCACAAGGCTGCTGCTTCTTGTTAAGGACACTCGCCTCACTGTAAAACACTCCGACTCCATGGAGTGCATATCTGAGAAGATGGGATGGGAACAGAAGGCCTGGGCAGTGGTGACAGGGAGATTTTCCATGCTTGTGTCTTTAAGCAAGATGATTAACAGCAGCCCCAGAGCACTGCACAGAGCAACACATTGCTTAAAAGCATTTCCATTTTCAAACAACAGAAAGAACCGATCAAGCCTGAACCCTTCCTCCTTAGCCTTATTATGAAAATCTGGGCCAACACCAGCTAATAAAGGGATCGATAACCATCCAGCTATTTTCACAGCTTCCCATTTTAATGAGAAGCTACCCTGGATGAAGTTCTATAAGGGGGCTACATCAATGGAATCATATGCCACCACAATAAGTTTCCATGGGGCTGCTAATTATTAATGGAGTGCTCCAGGGTGCTAATCAATTCGGGCCTCATTTGTCCCCACCTGCAGCTACATGGCTCAGGGGAGTGAATGGTTTGTTTTTCTAAGAAGGTTAAAATACACAAAATATGCACACACAGAAAAGCAAAAATGAACCCTACCTTGGGAAGATGCTCCGGAAAGTTCCTGAAACTCATTTCTTAGGCTAATGTATGAAGACTTTCAGGTTACCTGGGAGGGCAGTCTCTATCAGGATGAATATAACTGTGAGCTATCCCTCTCCAATCTTCTCCAACAGGGATACCACTTTCCCACTTTCTCGTTTGAGTTTAGGCTATCTGACAGGAACATCCTGCAACCACAATTCTATAGAATGGTCCCATGAAAGTGGTTATAGAGAAGGTAGAGAAAAATGAGAAATCTTTTCCTACAGCCCTGAAGCAATCTAATATGTGCCCTCCCTACCCCATCAGTCTCTGCAACTCTCTGCAACCCAGCCTCTCAAAATAGCTCTTTAGTTTGTTAAATGAACCATGCTCTCTCTTAAAATAGGGCTTTGCACAAATAGTCAGCCCTCTGTATCAATGGGTTCAACAGATTCAACTAACTATGGATCATAACTGTGGTTAGAACTGCATCTGTACTAAACACAGACTTTTCCTTGTTATTATCCCCTAAATAATACAGTATAAGAACACTTTATAGAACATTTATGTCATGTTAGGTATGACACATAATCCAGAGATGATTTAAAGTATTCAGGAGGATGGGCATAGGTTATTTGAAAATACTGGGCCGTTGATCTTTATGTCTGTAGGGGTGAGGGGATCCTGAAACCAACTCACACCAATAACAAGAGTTGACTATATTTTCTACCAACTTCTTCCTATCTTTGTTTATATATTTAATTCCTTACTCTTTTGTATTACCGTAAACATCACCTTCTCTAGGAAATTTTCCTCACTACCCACCTTTAGGTAGCTGTACCTTTTATTCTAAGATGATCCTTGAACATCTACAATACTTCCTACACCTACAATTGCTTGTCCTGGTCTCTCTTCTCTCTCAGACCATAAGCTCCTGCAAGACAGAGATCATTTGTGTCTTATTTACTACTCTACCTCCAGAATTTAGTTCAGTTCCTAGCACAGAGAAAACACTTAAATGGAAGAAAGAATTGCTGAATGGATGCATAAAGGAACAAATGAATGAATACATATGTGTATAAGTAACTGAATGAACAAAAATACCAGGAAATATAAAATTAGCCACCTTCTTATCTCATACTCCTCCCACCTCTCCACTCATTTATCCTTTCACAATATTTTTCAGCACCAGTTCAGAAGCCCACGTCTTTGCCACATTTACTTGGTATGCGTCCAGCTGGAGACTTATCTCCTTTGCAGCCTCATTAAGTGATGCAATTACATCCTGTCCTTGTTCACACTGAAGTTGTAAGATCCATCTCCAACTAGAAGCCAGTGTTCACAATGAATGGGATAAGTTTTATGATTTTTCCAATAGAGGAGTTAAAATGTCACCATTGATATTAACATTCCAGTAAATCAGCCCATTTTAATTACTCATAGTGGCACAGGGGAGTGGAAACATAAGAAGTACATTTATATTTAACCATAAAATGTAGAAAGAAGCAAGAAAACCACCAGACTTATCTGTGCACTTTTATGCACACATATGTAGCAGCTGTGCTTCTGCCTAAATTTGACCTATTTAGCAATAAGGCATTCGTGAAAGGCAAAATAAATCTTAGAAGAGATTTATTTCAAATCCAGTACTCCTTCTCTACCACCCTTGGGGAGAGATCCAAGGTTGTACAAGATGTTTGAGTCACAGGATATCAAAGCTAATTCTTGGTGCCCTGATGAGATGAGAATACAGAATCCTGGTTCAACAACATCAGCAGTGGCCAAATCCCTCAGGGGTAAGTTAGGCTGAATGCTACCAGTTCTTCCAGTCAGGGGTCTGACTTCCCATCCCCCATCAAGGCAGCCTCTCCAACCCTTGCTTCATCTGGAAGGACAGAAGTTGGTGCATTTGGTACCTTTGGCAAGGAGTACTTGGGAAGCTTTATCTGAGCAAAGGCCTCTCTTCGATAGGACACGTAGTAGTTGGCTCTTCCTCCTGTTGTTACCTAGATGATGAAGGAAACACAGAGAGATCAGATGGATCACAGTTGATGGCACAAGTTGGAAAGTACCACCCTCTCCATCAACAACCAAAATAGATTTGTATTTATCTTTTAGAGAATATCCCTACTTGACTTTGAGTTTCCAATACTGTGACAACCCTGAGTTATTCGTGTTGACAGTAAATTGGTAATTACAACAGTATTTCTCACTAACTGATATCTCTATGAGAGTACCAGGTTCTGCATCTGGTCACTGTGCTCTGTGTATAGTACACACCTAATAAATATTTTCATCTGAAAAGAAGCTATTGACATGAACTGCTCTCATGATGTATTTGTTCAGCCTTTTATCAGTTTATTAGTAACCCATTGCAATCATGACACAAAATTGTTAAAGGTATTTTTTTTGGATCTGAATAATTAACATTGCTCAAAACTATCATTAGTTTACAATTTAATTTCACTTATGATCCGAGTACATTTTTACTTCTTATTTACAGATTCATGCATTGAGCAAATATTTATTGATTCTTTCCATATACAAGTTGCTTAAAGACAACTGTGCAACTATACAATGTGGAAAAGCTCCAGATTTGAAATTCAGAGATCCTGGGTTAGAGTCCCAGTCTGCAGTCTCCTAGCGGCGGCTCATGGATAAACCCTGTAACCTCACTTGAAAAAGGATAGATTCTTAGTTAGATGACTTAGAAACCACTCCAAGAAGTAGTCCCTAGTCAGGGCTTGCTGAAAAGTCCTGCCAACATGGCATCGCTCTGCAGATGGCTGCTCTCAGCCCAATTATCCTAACTCAGGGGGAAATTATTATTCACAAGAGAAGATAACATGGCCTGTTCAGAGAAAATAGCAGGACAACAATAGCAACTAGTCTGCTGTGCTGAGGAGGCAATTACTCCAGGCACATGCTCCATTCTCAGTGAAGCTCAAGCGTATGCTGGAGACTGGCCAGTCCTCTCACTCCTGTCCAAACCTGGAGCCCATCCAGCAACACTACAAAGCACAGGGGGTATAATGTCTCTGTTGCAAGCACCTGTGACTCCTCATTCCATAAGATAGCCTCTCCCATGGCTCCCCATTGATCCACACAAATTGGAACCCCACAAAGCAGGTACCCCAAGTTGTCAGGTAGACCAGATGTCAGAATCAGCAAGAAGGTAAAGCCTTGGTGTGGCGGGGGTGGGGAGGATAATGCAGAGAATTAACTAAATGAAGAGGACAGACTGGCTTTCTCTCTGAAGTTCAGGACTAGCCCTTGTCTCCATTTTCTAATTAGCATCATTCTTGTATCCCGGGACTCTTATTTTTATGTTGGTAAAGCACCTGTTATGAATCTATATTGTTGTGTGGACTTAGAGGTGGGTGTTGACATACCAAGACAAATTGGTTGCTGAGAAGGTTTTCTTCTTTCTAAGATAAACCTCAACTTCATAAAATTGGATTAAAACATAATCCTTGGATCTGGACACCCAGTCACCATTATACCTTGCAGGATCCTTTTATTTATTTGTTTAATTTGGTTTTATTTTTAATTATAAAATCAATGCATGTAAACAAACCTGCAAATTCAAAAACTAGATCAATAATTTTAAATTTTAGAATGCATCAGAATCAACTGGAAAGCTTTTAAAACTCAGATTGCTGGGCCTCATCTCTGATTCAATAGTGATGGGTTGGAGTTTAAGAATTTTCTTTTCTAGTAAGTTTCCTAATGATGCTGGTCTAGGGACCACATAGGTACATACGCAGAACTAGACCCTTAACAACAATTTACATGCCTGTGTGCTTCATCTGTCCTGACCCCTGTCTCCTTCCCAGATGTAACTAATTTCCTCAATTCTGTGTTTATAATGATGATAAAGACTTTTTTATTGAGGCAAAATTCAATAAGCATAACTAAGCCTTAACCTTTTTTCAATTAGACAGCACTTAGCATATTTACATTGTTGTCTAATCCTCTCTTCTATTTTGTCCTAAAGCAATTTCAGTAACCCCCAAAGAAGATCACATACCCATGATAAAGTTTTTAAGCCCCTAAAATATACCCTCTGGTCACTTATCATATGCCTGAAATCTACAGGACACCCCAAACTGCACCAAAGTAAACCAGCCTCCAAGGAGGCAGAGCCCATCCTCAGCTGGGCAGAACTCATTAATTAGAAACTTTCCCCCAGCAGATTTTAGCTACCTCTAAAGGGAACAAGATGGCAGCACCACCAGACCTTTTGTCACAAGCAAAGCAGGTGTCCTTGGATTTTCTAAGCACCAAGAGCTGAGAGAGAATGAAGTGTCCTCATCCTGGAGTGACTGGCCCCATAGCTGTGGGCACTCAGCACAGCATGTCTATTATTTCTCTCCACAAGCACAGATTCTCTCTTTCACAAGCTCATATACAACCTGGGGGGAGTTTGTGCTTGAAAAATAAATATAGAAATTATGCTTCATATGTACCACAGGATGGTGAAAAATGTGAAGGGACCTCATGGTCCCTGAAGCATAGTGGTTCTCCAGGTAATTCTGCACAGAATCTTCCAGACATACTAAAATGGCACTTTTCTTTTGCATGGACTGTGGCCCTCTCTGTACCTGCCAAAAATTTAACTGATGCTTTAAACCTCAGTGCAGGTCTCATGAAGTTCATTGTAGGGTTTTTAGATACCACCAATTCAGTATAATTTCTTCCATCAATCAACTTCTGATTTTTTTCTTTCCATTTCAATGGCACTTTCAACATTTACTCTGTGGCATAGATTTCTCTGTAATGGTACTTCCATGTCTTATTACAGTGCTATAACCTCCTCTATTCCAAGACAACATCAGTGCTATGGTTTGAATGTTTGGGTCCCCTATAAAATTTGTGTTGAAATTTAATCCCCAAGCAATAACATTATGGTGCAGAGCCTTTTAGAAGGTGATTAGATCATTGATGTTTGGCCATTATGAAGGAATCAATGCATTATCAAAAGGCTGGAGGTAACCATCCAGGCCCCATTTTGCCCTACTGTTCCTTTTGCCATTGAGGGCACAGTGGTCAAGGTGTCATCTTGGAAGCAAAGACAGGACTGTCCCAGACATTGAATCTGCTTCTTCTTTGATTTTGGCTTTCCCAGCCTCTGTGGGAAGTGTAAGAAATACGCTTTTGTTGCTTACAAATTACTCACTCTAGGGTCTTTTATTATAGCAGCAGAAACAATTGGCACTGAAAAGTAAGGTGTTACCATAACAAAACTGAAATATGTGAATATGGCTTTCAAACTGGAGTAATGGGTAGCTACTGGAATAGCTTTGAAAAGAATGCTAGAAAGTTTATATTGTGATTTATAGAGTATTAGGGGTGATTCAGGTGATTACTCAGAAGAAGAGAGCTACATAGAGACATAGAGACAGTCATCTTAGCAATTACTTAAGTGGTTACAATCACAATGCTGGTAGAAATATAGATGTTGGTGGCAATTAGAATTTTGGTGGAGATGAGGAGCGAGGTGCTGGTAACTGGAAGAAAGGCCATCCTTCCATAAACTGTCAAGATATAAGGCTGACTCTGCCCATGTTCTAATGCTTTGTGAAAAGCAGCTCTAATAATCAAGGAACTAGAATATTTGGTAGAAGAAACATCTAAGCAAAGTGTTGAGCATGTGGCATAGCATGGAGGACAGAATGGTTTCAAGAGAGAGGTCCATGCCTTACATGGAACCTCAGGGTTCACTACCTAGCATGACCTTAAGACTCTGCTTCCTGAATTCAGATGCAGCATTCGCTGGCTGCCCTTGCTGTGACTCATGGGTGGCTCAGATGACAGCAATGTAAGGCACAGGGATAAACCTTGACAGCATCCATGTGGTGCTAACTCTGCAACTGCACAGAGCACAAAAGATGTGGAGGCATGGCTACTTCCATCTAGATTTCAAAGGAGTCCTGAAAAGCCCCAGGACCTAGACAGAAAACTGCTTCCAGTGTTGGGCTTGCAGCAGAGTCCCTACTAGGGAAATGTCCAGCAGAGCCATGTATTGGAGCCACCCCAAGCTCCCAAAGCTGTACAGGAACTCTAGCCTGGAGCAACCACAGGCATGGGGCTCCAAACAACAACTGCTTTGTGAGATACACCTAGAAGAGCTGTGGGGATAGAATCTGACAAAGCCTATTCTAGGGACTCAAATCCTGCCTCAATATGTCTGGAAGGCAGGATATAGTCAAAGAATATTGTCCCAAAATTCATTGTTGTTTACCTTGTTGGGTTCTGGATTTACATGGGAAATGTTACTCCTTCCTTCTTTCTTGTCTATATTTGAATGGAAATGTTTATCCTAGGCCTACCCACCATTGTATTTCATAGCCATATAATTTGTTTGATTTAAAGAGCACAAAGCTACACAGCAATTGACTTGGGGATGAATCACACCTTGAATCTCATCCATATCTGTTTTAGATGAGATTTGGGATTTAGAATTTAAAGTGTTGGCACAAGTTAAGACTTTAAGGCTATTGGGATGGAATGAGTATGTGAGGAAGAGACACGTTTGTGTAATGGCAGGGGGGAATGATATGGTTTGAATGTTGTTATCCCTCCAAAATTTATGTTGGAACTTAATCCCCAGTGAAATGGTATTAAGATGATTAAACTATGAGGACTCCTCCCTCCTGAAGGGATCCATGTTTATAAAAGGGGTAGAGGTAGCTTTGTGTGTGGCTGAAGTGGTACAGCACCTGCCTAGCAAGCATAAGTCCTGAGTTCAAATCCCAGTGCCACCAGAAAAAAAATGAGGCCTGGAGGGAACTAGCTAGACTTCCTTTCCCCACCCTCACCCCCATCCCTTCTTCCTGTGAAAACACAGTGTTGAAGGTATCATTTTGGAAACAAAAGACCAGGTCCTCACCAGATAATAAACCTGCCTGTGTCTTGATTTCAGACTTTCTAGCATTCAGAAGTATGAAAAATAAATTTTTATTGTTTATAAACTACCCAATCTCAGGCATTTTTTGTAGTAGCA